TGACCTCCTTTCTCTGCCTGCAAGGTGCTGAACATGGAGCTGACCACTACCTTAGGTACTGGTTAAATATGGTTCTCCACAGATGTTTACCGAGTACTAGTGATAAGTCAAGCACCAGAGTAGAGTAAGGGACAGGGCACACCACACCACATCTCTGTCCTCATGGGGTTGGTGTTCTAGTGGGAGAGTACAGTGATTGAGTGAAAGAACAAAGGAATGACCAAAGTCACCTCTTCCTTTCTTTTGTTGCCCTCACTGCAGTCCAGTGGAAGTGTTTCTCTGTGGTTTCCCATTTCTTCCAAAGGCATGGTGAGAGGTTGGTCTTTCACTTCCTGACCTCCTGGAGCTGTTCTAAGAGATTTTCAAGTTCCCGTTGAAAGTGGAGAGAGGCTGACAGGCTAGCTTCTCAGTGAGACCCAAATGAACTTTCCTGGTGGCTTATGTTTGTAACCAAGAGCCTGCCCTTACCTAGTGGTATTTGTTTTTTCACAAATTCTCTGTCCCAAGGTCAGCCAAACTGTAGCCAAAACATATATACATGTTTTGTAATCGTCTTCCATTAAACATGGGAAAAATAAATAAGAGTAGCACGAGCTCCGTCATGTTAGTGCTATTTGAGTATAGAGTGCTTGTTTAATGTAGTGTATTTTGTTTGAAAAAAAATGATTCTGAATGAAAAAGAAATCAAAGTTTATGTATAAAGGCTTAAGGACATTTAAGCCAGAAGTAGTTTTGGGCAAATTTTTTGGGGAAAAAACCCCACAAACTCAATTATTATGTACCTTAGAAAGAACAAGGTGAACCCTAATGCCATTTTATATGGAAGTGCAGTAGTTCATCTGACGAATCTAATTCCTTGGAAGCCCCATAGGATGTGGCAAACAAAGGAGGTGATAGATGTAATATTACCCACCATTAGCAAGAGATTTGTTTCCATCTTTAACACCACAGTCATCCATTAGCCAGAGGAAATAGTCTCAGCCCATGGCCCATGACCATTGGTGGTTAGGGATTCCTTAGCAACTTTGTTTTTTAATGCCAACTTCTAGTGCGCACTGTAGACCTGGTGAATCAGAACCCTGGGTTGGCAGGGGTGGGGTAGGGGCAGCATAGTGATAAATCTCAGGAAATATTATTTATTGAAAGCTTTCATTGAGTGAAAAAAAGCCAGTCTCAAGAGGTTGTATACCGTGTAATATCACATGTAATAGTCTCAAAATGACATTATAGAGATGGAGAACAGATAAGTGATTGCCAGGGGTAAGAAGAGGGGAAGAAGTACATGAACTTAAAGAGGAATACAAAATCCTTTGTGTAGATGGGATAGTGCCATGTTTTGATTATATACATATGATAAAATATAAAATTATATACAAAGATTATATTAATACACACAATGCATGGTGCTATGTAGTGAAGTCTGCAGTCTGCCCGTTGTACTGTACCAACCATCTTCCTTTTATAAGATGTCACTGTTGGGGAAATTGGATGATGGGTACTTTCTCAGAAAATAAGATCAGTGAAATGAAGGTTTAGGTTAAGGAATGTAAAAGCAAAGGAAAGAAGAAACTGTAAGTGTGAGTACTGTATGCATTATTTTTGCAACTTCTGCAATTATTTCAAAATAAAAAGCTAAAAAGGGTTCTCAGGTGCCTCTGATGTGTGGCTACTGGTTTAGGCCACAAAGTCATTGGGTATGTGTGTAGTTGTGTTCTATCACTGAGTTAGTGATCAACTGGTATAGGGAAATAAGGAATAGCCTTTACTCGGAAGTGTGTTGAATATTAATGGCTAGATAATAGAACCCAAGGTAGTGGGAATTATCTTTGTTTGGAGTAGTCATTACCTTCAAAATTCAGGTGGAAGCAATACTACTAAAGTGACTTTGGTGACCTGCAGAGTAAAGTGTGGTAAGACAAGAGCATCATGGTCCATTCAAAGCAGGAAAGAGTCTACACTAGGTCTACATAGCAAAACCATGAGTCACATTGTGTATGTGAGGTTCTGGATGTGAAAGAAGGTATGAGTGAGCAAACGAGATGGGAAAGTAAGGTCTACAGGAAAGAAGACAGGTTAAGAAATCAGTATATTCTGAGGTTACAGATACAACAACTTTCAGATAAGTGTCTTTTAGAGAGACGATGGTGTTAGTTTCTTGGGCGTGGGGCAAAATTAGCTCACACTGCTGAGTGACAGATCCAAGTGAGAACTGAGGAGCAGAGCCCTGGGTGTATGGGGTAGTAGTGGGGGTAGCATGTAAACCCTATCAGTAGAGCAGTTTCAATACCCAGAGCTTTCCTGGTGTGGAGCACACACTTATTAAGTATTTGTGAGATCCATGGTTATATGGGGCTCTCCTGGGAGGCAAGGGGCAGCTCAGTGAGTCCCCAGGTTGTCTGCTGTTGGGTCAATACCTCACCTTACAATACTATCTTTGAGGGATGGCTCTCCAAAACAAAGGCCATGGTCAGGATCTACCAGATCCAGATATAGATGGACAGCCCCGTCCTCACTCTCACAGTGAGATTCTCTGATTCTGATTTTGAGTATTCAGTGATGTGACATCACCATCAGACAATTTGCCTCAGGAAGGGGAATTTCTTATTTTGTAGTTTTAAAATTACCTGAAATAGAAGGTAATGCTCTTTCAGATTGATTTTTTTTTTTCCTTTTTTTAGGTCTCTTAAAGCTTTTTTTTTTTTTTTTTTTTTTTTTTTTTAAGTTGGAAGGCAGCTGAACATTTCTCATACTCAGAAACTTAGTGGGAAGGATGTGGGTGCTGGAAAGTTTTCTCCACTGCAACTTCTAAAATGTCTTTTTCCATCTAAAACATGTCTCCGTGGAACCTTAAAACTTTTCTCTATCTACAAATTATTTTTTTCTTTTTCCAAAAGATTTATGCCTATACTCGGGGTTCTATCATCAGTGGTTTCTCAGGAACATTTGCGAGTGATGAATTTCCTGTCTCTAGGTACCACTGTATTCCTTTCTCTGTAGAAAGGACTTGACCACAAAGGTCGTCCAACATTTTTCCTTCTGTACCTGTTAATTTGCATAGAAGCTAATGTGTCACTTATCTTACAGTGTGACAGAGGGATTGAGTTCTACAATGACTGTCTACTAGTTGCGCGGGAATTTGCACGCTCAGTGATGGCCTTGAGCATGTACTCGTGCACTTCATGTAGATATGTGTGGCACTAAGTAGAGGGCATAAAATTAATGAGAGATTCTGGATGTCTGTATTCTAGGTTCATCCAAAATGATAATTAATTCATTCACTCATTAATTCCTCAATACATATCTGGAATTAACGCACCAGGTACTGGTACAATCCAGACAAAGTGCTTGCACCATGGAGCTTAGGATTGGAGGATTGCAGGTTGTGTCTCTCTGGGTTCTCAGAGAAGTATGTGCAAAGCGATGAATGTACTGGGATTTAATGGCAATGCCTCAATAGGGGAGGCGGGGGAGAGGGCTGGCAACCGGGGGAGAACATTTATACTTGCATGTCTTACCCCAGTGAAGGGAATAGGGAAGAGAGGGTTGTGTAGAAGCATCCTGTGCAGTCTAGGATAGGTTTGGAAAAGCCATTTGTAAGCCCTTGAGTCAAAATCAGAGGATGGAGCTCCCAGGAAAGGGCCAGTCCTAGTGTCCCCAGCACACCCATGTGTTGGTTGGGGTTAGCCTGGTAAGTGTGACTGCTCACAAGAGGCATTTCCATACCCGGGGCCCTGTCTGCTATGTGCCACATAATATTCAAGCTGCCCCAGTGATGGGGATGGGCAAGGACACTAACCTCCAAAACATACCACAGGTAGATGTGCTGTCCATCTAATCTAGTTTGAGTGAGAGGATCGCTGGGGCTGGCACTCCACTCTGGGGGAAGCCCAGCTTTGAAGAATGAGAGAAGCCAACAGGGCAAAGTGGGTGTGGAGTGGAGCACTTTCCAGGCAGAAGTTGCTCCTGCCCTTTTGAGCCCCTGGAAGTGGGGACCACATGGGCCTGTCAGACAAATAGCAGGAAACCATAGGGTGGGGATAGAGTGCTTATTGCAGATAGGCACACTGGTATATACCTGTAATTCCAGCATTTGGGAGGCAGGAGGGTTGCAAATTTGGGTCTCACCTGAGCTACTTCAAGAGATTGTCCCAAAATAAAAGAGGGGTGGGAATGAAGCTCAGTGCAAAGGCCCTGGGGTTCAATCCTCAGTATCCCCCCCACACACACATGCACACACACACACATGTACATTGAAGTGACAATTCTGGTTTAAGTGTGGGAAGCTGATTGGAGGAACCAGAGTGGATGGGAGCATATTAAGAAAGAGGCTGTGAGGAAGTCTAGGAGTGCTGAAGGAGATGGAGGCAAGTGGACAGATGTGGCGCCTCTGTGCTTGGTTGGTTGTGGGGATGCCAGTGAAGGAGAGGCCCTGGTTTACAATGATAGCTGGATGGTGATGGAGTGGGGAGAGGAGAAAGTGCTTGACTCCTTCAGTGTGAGGTGCCCGTGTCTTCCTCAGAAGCTATGTGTGTGTTATAGATGGACAGAGGAGGACAGGGCAGGCGCTGAAAGTGGCAGAGCAGGAGAAAGAGGCCCCGCTGAGGATACTAGTGGGGAAAGAGTGCTTGCAGAGGGAGGGGCAGCCAATGTTAAATGAATACTGGTGCTAAGAGCAGAGTGGTTGCCAGATTTGGTGACATACTGGTCATTGGTGACCTTAACAAGAAGTGTTCTATTGGGATGATAGTGGGGATAGTAGATTCAAACTCTACAAGTTTGGCCATGCAGGGGAGATGAGAGGTCAACATCTGGGATATGAGGCTGGCTTTTGTTTTGTTTTTTCCTTTTGTTTTTTCCTTTTGTTTTCTTCATGGTGGTGGGAAAGGAACCCAGTGCTTACCTTTGTACTCCCCTTAACACCACTCCCCTTCAATGACAGAGGCCAAGACAAATGGACAAAGATCACCTGACTCTAAGGTAAAGAGTCATTTTATTTGGCAGTTCAGGGTTCTTGAGAAGGCAGGAAGGACTGGATCCAAAGCCAGGTGGAGGTCTTGTCCTTGGAAAGAGGGGCACTTCCCCTTAGGCAAAGAGGCTTGGAGAAAGCACATGCAAATCCAGAAGTTCAGGATGTGTCCAACAGTGCTCAAACATCTACTCTGAAATTCTCCTGTTGTCCCTCAGTTGTCTTCTCCAACATAGTGTATGTACCTAGTTCTTAGCCTGGATGGGGATGATGTTACATGCCTGCTATCATAAACTTTACTGCTTAAGAAACAATTGTCCTGTTCTTTTGGGGAAAGTAGACAGTGTTTCCTGAAGCATTTAACAGCTGGTGGCACATAGACAACAGCTAACTCTATGGCATATCTTTATCTAACTGCTAGTGATATTTATCAAGGAGAATAAGGGTAGGAAAAAGGAGTACAAAGAAATATTGCCAGCCATTTTTAGATGGTCAACCAAATCACTGAGCAGAAATGTAGTAACAAATACTCATTTTCACCCCATTACCCTTCTACCTAACAGCCTGTTTCAGGTGACCAGAGTCCACAGGTGGGGGGTCAGTGTTGGATTTTAAAGGAACCCAGGGCCAAGGCTGACCTTCCCTCACCCCTGCTAGAGACTTCTATTGTGAGCAAATTCTCTGCAGCTCCTGCACTCAATGGCAGCCAGATGCCTTCATCTGTCTTTGGCAAGGATCTTCCAGCTTCAAATGGAGCTGGTTTTCCTGTTTGCCTGGGCTGGCTTGATTGCATGAGGAAGTCACCTCTTGAAACTTCCAGCTCCCTACATCAGCCCATCGATCCCCAAGAACTGAAGACCTAGCACATTAGTATCACAGAACTAAGAGCGCTGCCTTTCTGAAATTATGGTGAAGTCCAGAAACTGCATGATAAATTGGGATGGCAGAGTTCCTGAGACATTTAGTGTTTGGCTATTTTTCTAAGAATCAAATCTAAAGTCACTGTGTTGTCCTAGACCACATTGAGTTTGCAAAAAGATAACTGAGTTTTGGTCCCAGACCTGCCACTATCCAGGTGTGTGCCTGTGGCTAACTTCCTCTGTCTCCCTGCAGAGATTTTCTTTATCCCTAAATATATTGAATGGCTGAGATTTTCTGATGATCTGAATAATTAGGCTAGCTGGCCAACACACTTGATTTTGAAAATCATGCTGTTGTTCTTCCCTCTTACTTTTAAAATAAAACCAGAAGGAATGCCTGCACTGGTTCATGCTGTGCTGGGGCAGAAGGGGACTTGTCGAGGTGCAGTGCTATAATTTGAGGTTATGGTGCTGCTGCTGACTGTCTTGGTTGGACTGCAGGTAGAGAATTTTATTAAGGCTGGACACCCTGGGCTGCATCTGTGCATTGTACCAGGCCACCAATGGGCACCTGGGGCCCAGTTTAGTTTCTGTGGTGAGGAGAAATGACTCAGCACCCATAACATCAAGTTGGTGACTTTTTTTCCCCTGAGTTCAAGTGGTAACTTTAAGAAATTCTTTCACAACTTCTTTCCATTGGTAATATCCCTATCTGGGGAGATGTAATTCTGTACCCTCCCACATAAGCTTATTACTTTTTATTGATCTCTCTGTTGCCTGACTAAATTCTGAATTACATTATTTTCATTCTTCCTGCCCATCCTGCTGCCCAAATTATACATTTTCTACATGATTTAATAACATATGATTAGATCCATACACCTCTCATACTTTTGTCTGGTTCTGTAGTTACTACTACGATACCCATTCAAGGATTCAAAGACTTACTGCACCTGACTTCACAGAGGGACTAATGGAAGGATTTTGTCAGAGAAAGTGGGGTGCCAGGCTGACTCTACAGTCAAGACAACTCTATTGATAATATATTTTTTGAAACTCTTCTAGCTTCTCCATCAATACACCAGCATAAATGCAATGAATTCCTGCTTTTTTTCTTTAAAGTTGCTTCTATGTTCTGCGTTGGAATAGGCTCTCAATAGCTGTTAAGTAATATTTAACTAATATTAAGGGACAGCAGGGACAGGGGAAAAAATGAGAACCAAGACCTGTCATGTAAAGGTACAAGATCCTAATGATGACTGGAACTGTACTGTATACCTAAAATGTACCAGTAAACTCAATGAGAGAAAAAAATTAATATTATCATAACAATTTATCAATACTATCTTTGCAAAGGATAGGAAAGTATTTTAAAAATCAGCATACTGTCAGATGAGTTTGCCAAGAAAAGGACACAGGAATGTTATTTAAAGAATAAACAGAGCACTCCTAGCATATTTATCTCCTAAAGGTTGGGAGTTGAGAATTAGGGCTTCTATAGGGCATGTGGGATATATTTCAGGTAAGAAAAAGCTTATTGGATAAGACTTGTCAGATGTGAGATACTGTTCTTTTTTTTTTTTTTCTGATCCTGAAAGCTTCAGAAAGTGGACTAAAAGCTAGTGGTGTAAAGGATTCTATGACAGGTATAATTTTTCAGTCTGAAAAATATAAATGGCAGCATATTCACTCACTTAGCAATTACATACCAGGTAGTGACACAGTTCTGGCCCTCAGGGAGCTTGCAGTTTGGGAGACACAATGCTGTGAGTGCAAGGCTGAAATTTCAGGCCTTTGCCAAAGCAGATGACATTGTAGTTTAATAAAAAATACATTTTGCTATTTTTCACTTGTTCCAATTTCCCTTCCCCTCTTTAACATTCAAAACCATATTGTTTTCTTGGAAAGCTTTTTTTTCCTTTGAATATTTTTGGCTGTATTTTCAAGTTCTTATAATTGTTTTTCTTGGATCACTTAGAGTATTATGAGGAGTCAGATCAGCACCTTGACACTGAACCTAGTTAAAGCCTAAAAGTAGGTCACAGTTGAAATACAAGGTAGAGATCCCTCCCTCTGCCACCTCTCAGTTATGGAAATGATTCTTTCAGCAGGATCCAAGAGGAACTTTAAAGACCATTTCTTCCATTTTCAAAGACTATCAATTAAATAATTCCATGTAAGTGGGTGTCAGGAGATGGCAAGATGGGAAAGAAGATGGGCTTGGGGAAAGGAGCATTTCAGCTTTCAAAAGAGCTCTGTGAACAGTTCTTTGACTAATGCTAGAAAAATAGTTTTTCTCGGCCAGCATTTTGGCTACAAAATCAACATAAGAAAAACTGAAACTTCTGATCCACAAGCAAAGATGGACACATGGCCTGTGAAAGCTCTCCAGAGAGCTGAGTGTCCTCATAGCTGTCTTTCCTGCCTCTCTGCAGAGCTCTCTGAAGCTCATGGAAGAATGCTGCTGTGGGCAGTGCTACTAGAACTATCCATACAATGCATGTACAAGAGAATAGGTGCTGGGCAGGACCTAGAACTTTCAGTTGGATTGTATTTCATTTGCTTAGGGATACTTGCTTAAGGAATCTTCAAACTGAACTATTTGTTTGCACGACGGTATTCCTCCTGAAGTGAGAGAGTTGAGCCCAATCGTGTTAGATACCAGTGCTACTCACACTAATTTGTTCCTCACACATTTACTATTCTTACCATTATTACATTGCCACTTACCACTATTACTACCCCATCACTGCTGGGACTGTAAACAATATGACGACCTCCATTGGGCTGCTGAACACACTCAAAGAGTCACAAAGGAGTACCTCCAAAGTAACTTGGACTTGTGACCCTCCTGCAGATTTATCCAAAATGCCTCTGTTCGGCTCCGGGGACACCACAGGAATAAAATAAATCCTTGCCCCCATGGGAGGTGTGTAGAAGGATGGAGATGGTGATGCAGGCAAATGACTTTGAAATCACATTACTGGAGAGAATGAAATAGGGATCAGGTTAATGGGAGATGAGACTTATAGAAGGCGATGCCTGGTGGAAAGCATAGAGTCACCTTCTTGGAAGTGGAGGTACCATGAAGTCAGAGAGGAAGTAAGATAAATTCTCATCATTCAAGAGGCTGATTGATGGGAAAGCCTTAATTGGGAAAGTACCCGTTAAGTGGAAACCACAGCCCCCAAAGCTCAGCATCTCTGGAATGTTATTGCACATTGAGGCAGGTATTACTTTTTAAAAAGATACATTGGTGAGTAATTTGAATTGGTGTCTGTGCCTACAGGGTGTACTTACAAGTGCCCCGTGTATAAGCTGGGCTCTAGAAGGAACTCTGGAAAACTCAGTAGTGCCTGGGTCTTCTTAAAATTATCTCTCAAGGACTGTAGCTCCATGATTGTAGCTCCTTCACTCCAGGAAGGGTTACAGTGGTATGAATTGTTGCAAAACATTTGTTGGCTTCGAAATCTACACTTCTGCAATTAGACTGTATTTTATACATTTTATGTTACTTAGGCTATGTTAAAATTAGTTTGTAGCTCTAAAATTCATACTGACTGTGGGTAACAAGAAAGGTTATAGAGGAAGTGGATAAAATAAAAATCTAAGATTTTTTTTTATTGCTTAACCTTAGTATACATGGTAAATAACATCTGATTTGAGGGAATTTCTAGGCAGTAATTTTTATATGTATATTTGTCACTCGAACTTCTGTGAATTGTCATAATTGAGTCCTTTGACCATTTTGAGGGTAATTTTCATTTTGATTTAAGAAATTACAAAGAATTACTGCTATGGTAAAAATTCAAATAGTACAGTGGCCAACTAAGTGAAAATTAGTTCACCTCTCCATTCTTGCTCTTCCCTCAGTTACTATAACCACTGTAGCTATTTTATAGTATACTTTGAGAAAAGTGTGTACACGTGTATAAAAGCATATGTATGTATGTATATATTTTACATACACCATCCTGTTCTGTATCCTCAGTTTTTGCTCACTAATCACATATCTGGGATAACTTTCTGTATCAGCACATGTAGAGCCCCTCTTTCTTTTTAGGGGCTGCATAGCATCCTACAGCATGGATAGACCATAATGTAGCCAGGATGGACTTTCAGGTTTCTAGATGTTAGTAATTACTAAATAGGCCACAGTAAACTGTTTTGTATGTACAGTTTGGCACATATGTGTGACTTTCTCCGTAGGGTTGTATCAGACAGCTTTGGACCACAAGTTACAGAGAAAGATGATGATTTACATTCGCTTACAGGATGTATAAATTTATTGTCTATATAAGAAGCCCAAGGTCAGACAGGCTCCTGGATGTGTTGGTTTATTTCCTTAGTGGTGTCTCAAGTACCCAGGCTCTTTCTTCCTCTTCATTCACTCATTGCAGGTCCCATGATAGTCACCCCAGCTCCAGGGGACATATCCAGACCAGACAGCATCCAAGGAAAAGTGACACTGTCAGTTCTTGGGAGGGCTTCAGCAAAATAAGGGAGCTGTAGCTCTTTCCATGACCCATTCTTAAAGCAATCTCAGGCCAGCGTGGAAAGTGTATTAAAGGGTCAGTTTTCATATCTTTAAAAGGATAAAGTCCCACAGGTGGGATTGCTGGGTCATCAATTCTAAAGCTAAATTAGCAATTTTACAGAAATTCCCAAATTGTGCTATGTAAATATGGCACTGTTTCTATTCCCATAGGCATGAATGGGGCTTAGGCAGTTCTGGAAGCAATTTATAGAGCTGGATGGATGTGTTGTACTGTCTTTCTTGGAAGATGTTTATGAAACATGACATGTTTTTATTTAACTGTTCATTATCAGATGTGTATACCTATTACTGTATCTAGAAAGGATTCCAAACAGTAGGAAAGATGATAAGTTTTTAAAAATGTAGGTCTGGACACATGAATAAATAAGACTTTATCACATTTTGAAAATAGCAAGAGGCCTTTAAATTATTAAATTACATCCTGAGTTAGGGTGTGTCTTTTTACTATATCATGAAAATCAGTGAACTCTGTTCTGTTCTCCTCATCACAACTCTATCTTCCAGCAGATCAGCAGTTTAATAGTCCAGAAACATTTTAGTGAGTATATAAAGTACTGCCGAGCTTTTTCACATTACCTGTAGCCAAATAATTTACTAGTTGTGTATTTTTCTTTTCATCCAGAGCTCACATGTAGGACCCAAGATAATGTAATGAAAGAGCATACTGCTGAACTGAGTAGGGAGTGCTAGAGGAACTTTTAGTGACTTGATCATTATATTGGACTATGGAGGAATTGCATTGCACTATTGTACTATAAAACACTAGAATGGCATACAAAATGTGTAAGTTGTGATCAATTTAAAATGCACTTATAGGCTTAGAGGATAGTAGTTCAGCAGCAAGCCTGGGACAGGGCTGGGAAATTCAGGTGTTTGTTACAGGAACACTGGCAAAAATAAGGCTTTTTCAGGCTCCTTCCTCCTGGGGTTGTCCCTCCAGTCCTTGGTTGTGATAATAGAATGGTATATTTAACTTGATCAGCTTATGTTGATTCATTATTATTAACTAAAGTCCACAGTTAACATTAGGTATATTCTATAGGGTTATGTCATGTAAGTATCATGCGTCCCAGTACAATATTGTGTAAAATAGTTTCACTGGTCTAAAAAATTCCTCTGTACTCATACCACTATCCCCACTCCTTGCCTCAAATCTGGCAACCACTGATCTTTTTACTGGCTCTATCATTTTTGCCTTTCCCAGACTGTTGCATAGTTGGAATTGTACAGTATTTATTTATTTTAGATGGCTTCATTGGCTTAACAGTGAGCATTTAGGGTGCTCTCTGTCTTTTTGTGACTTGATAGCTCATTTCTTTGTAATGTTGAATAATGTTCCATTGTTTAAATGTACCACTACTTGTTTATTCACCACCTATTGAGGGACATCTTGGTTGCTTTCAATTTTTATCAACTATCATAAACATTCATGAGTAGGTTTTTGTAAGGACATATTTTCAGCTCATTTGGGTAAATACCTAGGAATGTGATTACTGGGTAGATGTGAGATGGTGTTCAGCTTTGTAAGAAACTGTCCAGTCATGTTCCAGTGTGGCTGTACTATTTTCCATTCCCTCTAGCAACAAATAAGAAGAGTTCCCGTTGCTTCATATCTGTGTCAGCCTTTGGTGTCGTCGGTGTTTCGGATCTTAGCCATTCTAATTGGTGGATAGTAGTATCATATTGTTGTTTTCATCTGCAATTATCTAATGACATATGCTATGGAGCATCTTTTCATACGCTTATTTACCATCTCCCCAAGTTATTTGAAGAGCTCTAATATAGCAAGGATTCTCTTGCTATAGGAAAACAAAATAGAGACACTAATGAGAGAAGTTGCAGTCATTCAACCAGTGAGTAGGGTGAAACCTATGATTTGTTGCCAAACTAATTGAGTGTCCTATGTTAGCATTGAGTACGTCTCAGTAATTGCTTCCATGTATGAAGTCTGTAGAAGTACTGTACTCTAAAGATTAGGTCAGAACTTGGTCACATTTCAGTCGAGTGGGCTGAACAACAAGGGAGACTCAACAAGGGAGATAACCTCCAGTATTGAGAGGGTGCCACTCCTTGAATGGCGAGATGTGCTAGGTCACTACCATGGCCTTGTCAGCTTTTGCCCACTAAGCATTCTCCTCTTGTCCCTGGGCAAGTAGGCCTCAGGAGCAGCCAGCCTGACCCTCAGTTTGAGGTATTAGATGAGCCCATCTCATTGGTTAAGCTAACATGAGCTAGCTTTTCTGATGCTTTGCAGGCAAATACATCCTGACTCATGGGATCTCTTTGTTAGTATATATAACACATCCCTTTCTTTCCTTCTGTACAAAATCCTAGTGCTACTGGAAAAGGGTACTGCCAATAAAAGTGGGTGTTGTGGTTACTACAGAGCTGAGACCTGATGTGAAGCTGACTTCCATGCTGTTGAGATAAATATGGATGTCGGTCCAAGTGTTGCCATCAGAGATAAAATGCAAACTTTATATTTTTCCTCCGCTAGATGTTTCCCATACCTATCTAATGAAAATTTCACATTGTTTTTTTTAACATTCTGCCTCCATTTCTAAATTTTGTACCTTCATCCCACCCATCCCAAATTTAAAGGAATAGGAGGGAGCTTTCAGCGATGACACAGTTAAACTCTGCCACTGGTATACAGGGAAGGAGGGAGCTCCAGTTCTGTGGTGGGACTATGATCAGTGGAAGATTACTAGACTTAATTAAATCCAAGCTAACTAGAACATCATAGTTATGATGTTACCTTTATGTGGACATACTCAGTGTTGTATTTTCATGAAATGATTTTTAGAGATGGTTCACGTTTTTAAGGTTTCTTCATTATCAGGATAGGTAGGGAGGAAAAGATAGTAACAATAACAATATGTGAAAGCATTTGCATAAATCTATTATATGCTTTTGGATTTTTTGTTTTGTATTTTGTATCTTTTTATTCTGAATTTTGCACACTTTGCAAAAACAGAGTGGCTTTTTCCACAGTGTAACTATTTTCATGGCCCTTCATATATAGATCATAGAACTGCATAAATACAAACACATCAGTTAAATACGTGTGCCTTCCTAACTTTAGTTCTCCTTTTTTTTTTTTTTTTTTTTTTTTTTTTTTTTTTTTTTTTTTTTTTTTTTTTTTTTTTTTTTTTTTTTTTTTTTTTTTTTTTTTTTGTGGTACTTGGGATTGAACCGAGGCCTTTCGCACTTAGCTATACACCCCAACCATTTCTAAATTTTTCAGACCACACCTGGTCACTTTCCTTCTTAAAAAAATAAAGGAGTGAATTTACTCTCTCTCCTGTGTTCTACTTTTGGGTTGATAAAGAAAATGTTTTTCAAAGCCAAACAAACTTGACTGAGGTTGTGTGCTTACCAGAGACACATGTAATAGCTTCCCTCAAGGCAGCTGGGACTCAGTGGGTAAAGTTTATTGTTGTTGACATTGCTTAGCTTAATAAGGTCCTCCAAAGTTTGTACTGACTTTTCAGGTGACTTTAAACCTTAGTTTTCCCACCTCTGAAATGGGTAAGACAAAGCCCTGGAAACAGGTATAGTTTCAATGGAAGGAACACACGTATTGTAAGTTTCAGGGTTTTTAGAAATTTTAGATACAGGAAGACTTTTAAAATTCCTTTTCTTTTTATATGGAATTGCAATTATTCATAGATGAGGGCTGAGAAGACCCACACTTTTCTTTCTTAGATAGCGCAAAAGAAATAGGATAAACATTACCCCTAAGGAAGAATATAAAGTAATCTTTTTCAAACACCTCAAGCTTGCTTAGAAATTGAAAATAGTAAGCCAGATTCATTTTTAAAATTCCATTCTTAAAGCTTCCCTTTTCTTTCATCCAAACTGTGAGGCATCTTTAGGTATTTTGGAATTTTCTAGTTATAAAATTTTAATCAGTATAGTATTTAGATTAGACTGGGAGGGAATATTCTGACCTCCAGGCTTAATTCATGGGCTTAAAAGACTTGCAAATATTACTTGTTATATCCGAGGTTCTTTGACATAAATCAGCAGGAAAATCTCTGTTTTATAAATAAGAATATGTCTCATCCCACAGGTTTGCCCTTGAGAAAGTGGCTTCTAACTTGCTGAGCCTATTTAAACTTTGGTCCCTCCAAGTGGTCTGTGGATTTGTGGGGTGATATCACCTGAAGCTCACTAGAAAATAGAATTTCAGGCTGCTCTTGGAACTGCAGGCTGAACCTGCACATGTCAAGACCACCCAGGCAATTGTGTGCACTGCAGGATGTCACAGAACTGACCCAGGCCCCTAATTATGGATTTGGGTGATGCCTAGAGAAAGCCTGCCTGCCAAACCATGAGGTGAGCTGGGTCTCAACTTGTCTCATCCAAAGCCTCTGCTTTTTTCACCTGAGCTTTAACAGACACATGCTTTGCCTTGCAGTCTGTTTGTACCAAAACCAAATACACTTCTTTTTCATATCAAACACCACATTCACTGAACTGATTTCTGTAGATGTTTGAGAGGCAACCACTGTGTGATATATTTTAAACTCACTTTGTTCTGTGTTGAACAGAACTCCAAACAGGAGAGAAGCCAAACCTTAAAGAGACATTGCTCCTGATAGAACAGGAGGCTCACATTTACAGATTAGTTTAGGAAGAATTGACATCACTTTGTTGATGAATTTCTACAAGCTTCCAGTGTCTTGTTGCATCCTTCAGGTTAATTTAAATTATCTCCACCAAGATCTTGGACAATCCATATTACATTTATCATTAGGATTTTATTCTGCTATTCCTATTATAAATGAAAGCCTTTTCCACTGCCTCTTGTAATTTGTTGCATACAAGCAGGTTACTGACTTCTACACATTAATCTGCTGCTATCCTATGAGGTCAAGAGTTGGTGGATTCTACAGGGGATATTTAGCTATGTGAACATATCATGCACAAATAACGATAGTCTTACCTCTTTCTTTCTGAGTTTTGAGGCTTTTTCTTACCTGAATGTGTTGGCAAGCTTCTCAAAGGACAATGATAATGGATATTTTCCTGCTCCTGAGTTGTGAAATGGTCTTAATACTCCCTTTCTCCATGCTGAATTTCTGGTTGAGATAGCTGTATTATTAGCAAAGTAGCCATCATTAATTGAACATTTGTGGAGGGATCTTTTTAAAAGACAGACCTGATCTGTCACTTGCCTTCTTCCCAGAGCTCTAAATTCTCAACTGCACCTCCAGGCCCAGTGCCATCTGTCCCTGGGCCTCACCAACTTCATTTGGCCAGGTGATCCATTTTGCTTCCTGGTCTTCAGCTATATTGGCTGCCTGGCAGCTTTCAGAGTACAACCTCATGCCCATTCATACCCGAGGACCAGTGGACACTAGTTCCTTTGACCTGTGATGCTCAATGCTTTCCTACCTCATCCCATCTCAGATTTCTTGGACTTTCCCCCTCTTACTGTCTTGCAGAGGTCATAACAAAAGGTACTTTGTCATGGAAACTATTGGATCCCTCACCAGATGATCCTACCTAATCCCCTGCATTCTTTCTACAGAGGCACACAGGGTGAGATCACAAGAAGTGCATATCAAAAGTAGCCACAGCAGATTAGAAGGCTCAAAGTGGGCTGTCAGACTGGTTCATATTCAGACAAAGAGAGCCTGGCACCAGGCAGTGGTCCTGGGAGTGGACAGGAGGGAGCTGAAACAGATGGTTATGGAGGTAATGAATGGATGCAGGGGGTGGAATGTCAAGCAAACATCTGGGATAACCTGAGGATTCCTCCTGGATGATTGGCTAGCAATATTCATTGAGGAGGGAATTCTAAGGAGAGAGCAGACTTTCAGGGGGAAAATGTTGAGTTTGGCTTGGGACATTCATCCAGAAATCATTTACAGAATGCCTATGATGTGCCAGGCACAGTGTTAGGATCTACAAGATCCAGAAAGGCAACCTGGACCCACTCTCATGGAGCTGATTGGTTGACTGTATGGGCCTTAGAGTTCAAAAGAGAGAGTGACAGAGCTTAGACTGGGTAGTTCTCAGCTACAGCATAGTTGAATAATCTAGGTAGAGCGCAGAAGAGCCCATTGAAAGAGAATGAGGGAAGAGAAAAGGGAGAACAAAGAGGAAGAAGCTGGAAGCCGTATTAGGAGGGACTCCAGGAAATGTGAGCAGACATCAGATCCTGAAGAGGGGCATCTGAAAAAGGGTTGCAATGAGATGTTATATTTAGGAATTTGGAGATTGTAGTTAATCATGCAAAAGTGGAAACAGATACTTCATTATAGTGGATTGAAGGATGAAAGCTGGGGGCCAAGAGGTAAGGAAGGGCTCATGTTCATTACCACCTTCCTTTTTACCTTTTTGTAAAAAGTGTAGGAAAGAAGAAATTTAAGATAATATCTGGAGAAGAAGTCAGGGGAAGAGTGAATCTGGGACATGGCTGTCCAACCTTTTGACTTGCCTGGACCACAGTGAGTGAAGAGAAATTATCTTGGGGTGCATATAAAATATATAATAAGTTAACGTATGTAAGAACCAAATTTTAAAATGTTTTTTATTATAGCAACAACAACAACAAAAATGATTTTCAATTTGACTGTGCAGCAGGTGCAAGAATGGGAGTTATTAGAGCATTGTGCCCACCCCTACACAGCCTTCAGTTGTAAATTATGCAGTCTGTGCTCCAGCACCATGCAATCAAGTCATGAAAAATGTCGCTACAAGTCACATAATAATGCTAAATGTTTACAATTTTGTGGGTCTTCATCACTAGCTAGCTCGGGCTGCATGCAGTCCACAGACTGCAGAGTAGACACACCTGGTATAGAGGAAAAGATAGAGAAGCAGATGAAAAATGGGATGTGAGAAAGCCAGGACCCAAGGGAGGGGAGAGCAGGGAGGGAGATGGACAGAGCAGAGTGGGGGAGTATTGGCCTGAGATGGGGAGGGACAGCCTTACTCCAGGAGAAGAGGAAAGAAAGGTGGAGAAGGGTGTTCTTGATAACCTGTGTCACTGGAGGCCCATGTGATATTTAATTTAACCCTGACTAGCTCGCTGAGTGAGCTGAGATATGAGGGAAATGAGGGAGGGATTCCAAAGTTGGAAGCGTCACTCAGTAAACTAAGAAAAGGAAATGTCCACAAAGACGTGGCAGGATTCCTAGGCCTCTAGGATTAGAGACTGTTCATGTTTTGGAAAAATCTGCTCCTGTGGTGTGGTTTTTCTCTAGTTGGGCCTGGAAGCATGGGGTTAGGGTAGACCTGGGTATGGCTGGGTAGATTTATTCAGGGCTGGAATTTAGCAGAGAAAATGCAGGACCAAAAGGCTGGAAAGTCAACAGCAGTGGTAAGAGAGATAATCCATGAAGTCCAGAAGGGCAGATGGAAGTGAGGAGAAGGGGCCCACAGGCTTGAGGGGTCTGGGTATCAAGGGACCGGAGTAAGAGCTAACCTGGAGTTTACTTCAGAGAAGCGCCATTAATCCCGCAGGACTGAGAGTCAGAAATGTACAGTGAGACCCACCTACCTTCTGCAAGAACGCAGACACATCTTGTTTATGACCTGTAGGCCCCTTCAGACACTAGAACGGTGGGGTTGGGTGGATGTAATAAAGCATTCTTGAGGCGGCATTATGATGAGAGGAACATTGCGTGCTTTGGGGATTTCTGTGCCACTGATGTGTGCTATTTTTGGCACTGTGTTCAATTTCAATATTTTCTGCCAGAAAAACTGTCAAGAAGACTAAGATTGCTCTGCGGAGGTGACATTCTAATACGACCCCACCATGCACAGTCAGGGTCGTGTTTTTGAAGCCCCAGCCCAGGGGAAGGGCTGAAGGCACACCACAAAGGCTGCGCCCATCCTACCTTTGGAACCTTGGCCCGGCCAAACACTTTGCCTAGAAATCTTCCCAACACAGTGGACTGGATTTGCAAAGCAGGGTAGTGTTGTTGTAAATGAATGATCTGGGAACTGGTATCTGTCTAAAATTAGCCTGTGCAAAGATAAGCTTTAATATATGTCATTAGGTGCAATGACAAGTAATTGAGAGTGAACATTGCCATTTGAAAAAAATTTTTCTCTGTGCAAATAATGTTCTCTTACATAAAAGGGTACTGTGACTTTTTCAGCTGCTTTTTATAGTGGTGCCCTCTGAAGCTGGTGGCCTGTAGCACCCCGTGGAGGAGCACTAGAGAGGCACAGTCATGCTGAGCTCATCTCCCCAGCACAGGCTGGCCGAGTGCCGACCAGATCCTTTGCATATTCAACTAGTAATCTTCCTTAGATGTTCTGAGTAATTAATAAAGTCAATTATAGCACATTTTTAGTCATTTGGCATTCTGCCCAAAGTTCTGGTTGCTTCTCCTTACATTAAGTTTAACCTCCACTGTTGGGCCTGAACAGTCAGGAACCTTGACTCCCATTGCTGGGTCTTTGGGTGCTGCTTGTTCTTCATGGCTCTGCACTCAGATGTCTGATTTCACTTGAGTGACATAGCCATGTACCTGGTTGACAAGAACAGTGAGTTTTCTACATCCAGCGCCCTTGATCAAGGAATGAAGAGCTTGTGTGTGTTTTGGGGTGGGTGATTGTTATCATTGAAATAACTGGGATCCTAGTGCCTGAGTTGACTCACCCTGGACAGACAGCTGCAGGATCGGGGGAGGAATGGTTTGGGATCTACTAGCAGCTGGAATCTATTTCTGAGGCCTAACTGCCATGGGGCAGTGTAGTGATCATGTTGGCACAGATATCAAGACTTCTAGGTCAGCGCTTTTCCAACTGAGAAGTGCAGTCCATTACTAGGTCACAAAATTAATTTACTAGGTTGCTGGTCAGAATGAAGAAACTGAAATTTCAGAAGACAAATACAGTAGAATGCCAGTCGGAATGAAGGATAACAGAATAGAATATAAGAGTACATCTCCTTTGGTAGGATAGGTATTGTTTTGTGAGCATTTTATTTCAGTTTGTGTGTGTGTGTGTGTGTGTGTGTGTGTGTGTGTTAGACTGTGTTATGTATGTATATGTATTTATTGATATGGGTAATAACCCACAAAGTTTGAAAATTACAGCTTTCAATGGATAGTAAGTCTTTAACTAATGAGATCCTTGGATAAGAATTGAGGATTATTTGCTCAGTTTACCATTTTTATATTTCCTTGCCTCTAGCATTATATAGCATATATTAGGTGCCCAATAGTTATTTGTGAAAGGAAGGAAGGAGGAAGGGATGGAAAGATGAAGAGAAGAGGGGAAAGGGAATCATTTTTGACTTCATGAACTTGAAGTTCTGGATAAGGCAGACCTGGGATTATATTTCAGTCCCCAGTGTCATCCCAGGATCTCAATAGCCATTTCTCTTCTCTTCCCTTTTCAAAAATCTCTTCCTGAGAAACCTGGAAGTAAGTCAGGAAAGCCTCTGATATGATAGACAGAGGTAACCATCTTGGCCAAAGAGCCAAAGTTCAGAAAAGTAGAGAATCTTCACGGAGAAAGGAGAACATCTGAGAAAATCTCACTAAGAACGATGGGGTTTATGTAATCTCTCCTCCCGAGATCTGACTGCGTAGCATGGTGCATTAGTTTCTTGTTACTACTGCAACAAATTTCTACTAACTTAGTGGCGTAAGACTATACATATTTATCAACTTACAGTTTTGGAGATCAGATGTCTAACATGGGTCTCATTGGGCTAAAATCAAGGTGTCTGCAAAACTGCATTCTTTCTGTAGGCTCCAGGGGAGAGTGTGATTTTGTCCTTTTCAGAGTCTAGATGCACCTGCATATTGTGAATCCCTTCAAAGCCAGCACCGTGAGGCGGAGTCCTTCTCATCCTGCCATCTCTCTGTTCTTTCTTCTAATTCCTTCTTCCACTTTTAAGAACCCTTGTGATGACCTTGAGCTCACCTGGATAATCCAGGATAATCTCTTCATCTTAATATTAGTTGGTTATCAATCAATATGTTCTCTATCTGTACTCTTAATTCCCCCTTTCATATCACCTAATGTTTTCACAGGTCCTGGGGATGAGGATGTGGACTATTCTACTACCATGTAGGGTTTATTTTAAGATTGTCAGCACTGGTGTCTCCTGCTGAGGCTTTCGTGTTTGTGTGGAGTACAGTCAGGCTGAGCATGTGTGCTGCGAGCATCTCGTAGGATGTGACAAACAGTTCCATTCCCGCAAGTCTGGACAGTTTACTCAGGAGGAAGACTTAATTCGATACACAATTTGGCTGGGTTAGCCATACATCCAGGTTTCAATCTGTTTCACATTCTCATCGCTATTTTCCAGAGCTGTTGTGCTGTTGATCTGCTTAATGGAGTTGTCTGTAAATAGCAGCTGTCTTCATCTGGCTCATCTCCTCCTGTCTGCCAGATTGTACCTGGCATACAAGGTGGAAGGAATGAAAGTATGGGCAGTCCTAACCAAGCACCTACATCAGCCTCTAGACAGTAGAACTTGAACACCTCTTTGAAGTCAATGCCATTTTCTTTGCTACTTAGAAACCATCAAAGCTCAGAGAGGCTCCTAATACATTCAGATTAGTTCATTCACTCAGCTAGTCCAACCAAATGGCTTCCAGTCCTGAAGCTGTCCCCTGCAGGAACCACACAGAGTAAGAAGTTCAGTGCCAGGCTCCTAACCCTGGAAAGGAATCTTTGTTAATTGGTCTGTCATGTGTTCAGGTCACCCTCCTCTATAGCAGGAATGACAGTACCAGCATCCTGCCCTCAGTGCAAGGGGCTGCATGGTGATGGGAAGGAACGAAGGAGCTGTTCTGTGCTTAAGAACTCTGTTTTGGTGGCCTTTTGGTGGAGATTATGGGACAAGTATTTATTTTATTGCCTGCATGAGTTTTATTAAAATTTCTCAACTTTTGAGAGTATCCAAGGGTTCCCTTAACTCCTAGGAAGTTTGGCCTAAACAATTAATCACAATAAACTGAACAAATTTATGGTATTTTTCTCTTTGGTGTTTAAAAGAATTACACACACACATACTCACACACGCACACACACACACACACACACACACACACACACACACACACA